GAGAGAGAGAGAGAGCACAAGAGAGATAGACCAAGAAACACTATACAAGGAGGAACAATACGAAGACAAAGCAACACCACGCTGGGCCAAGTAAAATAGAAAGAAAAAGAAAAACGTGTAGCTAGTGTACATCAGTGTATTGTACATCAGTGTAATTGTGTACGTATGTATATCTATACAGGCGTGTGTATGCGTATGGTCATCCTCGTTAGACGACCGTGTTTCTATGTGTGTATGGACTGCGTGTTGGCTGATTGTGAGCTGTATGTATCGTTTGACTTTTCGTCGGTCTCGTTTTCTTTTTCGTTCGTCATATGATACCTTGGCACTTCATGCCCTGGTGGATGACACCATAGAGAAGACTACCGCAGTGGTCACAGAAGGTGGGGCTGTTGTAGGTGTGTTGCTTGAATTGGTGCTTCGTCCGCGTGTCCTGCGTTATTACACCATTACACCGTGCACACACACGCAGACTCTCGGATCTTATGATGATGATGATGATGATGATGATGATGATGATGATGATGATGATGGTGATGATGACGATGATGATGGGAGAGGGAAGAGGTTGTAATCGTGGAGACGCGGTGATAGGAACAAATCGGCCATAGATCGCTGGATTTCCCTGTTCGTTTAAGCGCAACGCGACACATCCAATAAGCTCGAAGGACTACCGTTTGATCCAGTGAAAGTTTAAAATAATGTCGAATAAAAGATTCTCAAAATCTATTTACTAATTTATTTAACGTATCTATCCTTCGAGTCTATTTCAAGAATTCCTTCATTTGTCCATCAATTATTTGTTGAATGTTTAGTTTTTTATATACGTTTTATATACGTAAATGAGCTTGTCAATATTTTATAAATCAATAGGTAGAACATTAGAAATAATGACGGTACTTAAAATTCCATTTAGATATTCTTTTGCATGATGTAACTGTACAAGCGTGAAAATGTTAGATGTGAAAATTAGATATTTTCAATAGGTACACAAGCGCATGTCACTTGAAAATGCAATATTCAATTCTTAACTTAAGAATTAAGTATATTTGTTCGTTTCGAGCGTAACGCACACCAGTCATATTTGTCGCAGGGACGTTTAATCCAATCAGAATGAGGAATTCTCTTCGAAATCGAAAGCTTAAGTGTCGTAACTACGTTCAAATAAACTTTAATGGAAAGAAGCGTCGTACTCTAAATTGAAAAGATTAGTCTTTCGAAGTCCGTAAACTTCAAGCTTTAAAAATTTTCCCATAAAGAGAAGTTTTCTAATGTATTTTATTCCTGCCTGGAAATGAAGTACTTTAGAAACGTCGTAACGTGTCCGCCAGCTCTTTAATGATCGAACGTGTTTTTTTTCGCCTTCCCATCAGTCGTCATTGTTAACGGGTTCGAACGGCGCGTTCGAGAGGCTGACAGTGATTTAAATATCGATAGTGTTTTTCCAAATTGCGGAAGGTAATTTGTGGTACGGTAACTCAAAGTTACGCGACCGGCGTGGTCTTAAACCCAAATAGGATCAAACGGCAGCCCGGCCAGCTTCCCGGCAGCGTTCCGATAACTTCCCGAAGCCGGTCGGTAACGGCTTACTTCCTGCGAATAACGTTCGAAGGTAGCGGAAATCGAAACAAGCTCGCAGGAAGTTTCGTGGGATTTGGCAGTTGCCGCGAGTCCGACATGCAACCGATGCATTAAGCTTTCCGGTGCTTCCGGTCATCGCGCAAAAGGACACCCCCGCCTCGCCAGGCGTGAAGTTTTGTCGGTCAACGGCGCGAATTCGATTAGTCCGGTCCTCGGTAACTCATTATTGAAACCACTTTGCTAGAAATTACACAGCCGCTCGGCCTAGGCAGTAAGAACAACATTGCTGTTCTCACCGGACGAAAACGTAAAACGGAGACTGAGGAACGCAAACAGCGACAGTTATGGCGTTTGTCTTATGAACACTTGGTGCAGCTATTAACTTTAAACAGGACTTTCATCACAATTGTCCATTCCTATTCTCTTTGAAAAAAATAATAAATAGGTGAAGAAACAAATTATAATATAAAGTAATGATATAATAAATATTATATATTTCCATTTTTTGTATATACATTTAATATTTGTCATATAATCATAGTATGTGCAAAAATAATTCATTCAATAAATAAAAATTATAAATAAATAATAATATTAACTTTTCCGGTATCGTTAAAGTTTCGAAATTACCTTGTCCAAATATTATCGAAAAATTCCTAAGCTATCTGCAGTCTGCTAGATAAAAAAGATAACTCATGAAAAATTAACATCTCTTTCTCATGGACGAAAATCCGATTCTAAAGCGTTCAAACGCGTATATTGCCGGATAGATATTCGCAAGGTAATATCACGTATCGCAAAACATTAATGCACCAATGTTATCCCCAACACACCAAAGCTTACTATTATAAGAATACTTCGCGGATACTAGCCCCCCGGGTACGCTAGCCGCGCGACTTTCTGTCCACAGAAAGGATAAAGAAAAAGAAGCTATAATGCTCGCTCACATACGCGCTTTTTTTCCTTTGTCGCAGCCCGCGTCCAACAATGAAAATGCATTATGTGCCTTATACGGGGAAATCCACGATCGCCGATATTCGCGCGGATCAATAGACGCGGAAAGGATTACCTTTGAAGGCACAGAAGCATAGAGGGACAAGGTGGAGACAAGGAGTCAGCGCCCAGGATCAAGGGGAGACAGCGGGGACTCTCAATTAGTTTAGTCGGAAAATCCCAAAGATAAAGTAAAACTTTTTCCCGACGCGATAAGGGTAAAACGTTCGCGGCTCGAATGTCTTGAAGTTGTCTCTTGACATCAGCCCTAAAAACTCGATGAACTGTAATCAAGTATCAACCCCCCGAGTCGACGATCTCAATTGTAGGGGAGAAACGTGGGATACATTCAACCCTATTAACATTACCCTATTAGACAGTTCATCTTTTTTTCTAATATCAATATTCACGGTGCCGTTTAAAACTTCGGTATTGCAAAGGTAAAAAAACTAACCGTCAGAGTCGAGCCTCAGACTGGGGATGCGACATGTCCCACGCGTTGCCCGTTCATTATTCGTTCAGAGTGGAAAAGTATATTTTGCCGTCGGGACAGTTTTATCGGTTTCCGGAGTCGCTGAACGGCAGGGAGAAAGTAAACTCTGTTTTTACGAAGGGGAATTGTTTCGAGCCGGAAACGCTTTGCCCCTTTCAGGCGAGCACGTTGGGAACGATATTCCCGACGTTACTTGTCCGCTTGTAAATACGTACGTACGTATTTGGCCGCCGGGTCGGTGATCGTTGCGCGAAAATATGGTTACAAGCGTGGTTAAACGAAGCGCAAAAGGACGCGGTGGCTTAGGCCAATAGGCGGTGAGCGTAGTGCGAGACAAATGTGAAAGAAGAAACGTACAGCTCTCAGCCCCTCCCCTGGGCATAGTTGTTCTTCCCGTTTCTTCCTTTTCTACCCCCAGCCAAGGATCTTCTTATCTCATTATCCTCTTATCTCCTCTTATTCCGATCTCGTTAACTCGTTGCTCCTTCAAGCAACGCGAGTCCTGTCAGCCAAGAGATAGAAAGGAAACAACCGCGCTAACCCGCGGTAACGGTGTGTTGTGCGATAAATTTCACTGTACTCTCGCGGAAACATTATCCCCCGTATCTCAGCGAAGAAATGAAAGTAGCGCACCAGATGGTACAATAATTTCCGTACCTTGATGTTTTTTATTTCATTGACGCAGGAATTCTTATCTCGAGACATAATAAGTCGCAATAAACTAATCCTTCTCTTTTTTTATTTAAACGGGTAAAGACACAAAGATGTTTATTTAAAAGCATTTAGTAACTTGAGCATGGCAAATAAAAGGTAAATGTCACAAAGGAAGAAACGTTTTAATGTAATGCAGCGAGTCATGATTAAAAATATGCATTTCGCTAAATTCATAATTTTTTGATACTCTGACATCTAAAAAATATACTACATCTCAAATTAATTTTTACGTTTGTGTCATTACTCCGAGGACAGACTCTCTTCATTATTTTATAATTCAATTTTTGTCTCTTCTCTCGTTAACAACTTAAGAGCAAAAGTATGTTTTCTATTTCTAAACAAATTTCTTTAGCTTTTTTTCCGAATGATGACGCAAATACGCGATCACGGCAATCCTTAAGAAACGCTTCCAATGATTTCATAAACTAATTAGTCCGCTTCTGCTAATGTGTGCCAAGCTAAGTAGAAGCTACCTTCTTACGGGCAGGTTGACAGAACGAATTACTGACGCTATGCGTTATTATTATCCATTTACAAGGTGACGGCGCGCGATTTATCGCAGCCTTCAAAAATGACCTCGATATTGATTATACGTGTTGCCATCCTTCTCAGCCCCCAACCCTTTAGCACCTTGCGACGATGGGACAGTGGACGACGTTTCACACGCGTTTAGCGGCGGCCGTGCAGCAGCCAATTAGCGCACACTCGGTTGAACGGCTCGCTTGTGAAACGCCGTCATATACCTCATTCTCCCACGTTCACACGCGGAACTTGACTCTCTTTTGCGGTTCAAACTGATGTAATGAAAATTCCCCCGTGATATACATACGTTCCCTTTTTCTTTATTTTATTACCGCCGCTCAAATGTAGTTCAGGGTTGCTGCGATATGTAAATAAAAATCGAGTAACAACCTTAATTTTTCGCAATTAACAAGCTTCTTTTTGTTATAGATAAGAATTTTGTAATTACTAAGAACTAAGAAAAAAACAATTAATTAAAGATGAAAAAAAA